TCCTCTGCCCAGACTGCATCCAGCCCTGACTTGTCCTGAGTCAAAGACAATCTCCAGCTTTGCAAAGTGAGGACGGTGCCCTGATAAGCCCTATAATCTTTGGTGTCTCTGTTTTTATAAGGAGTGGTATACAGGTTATGATGATTGCCATCTTCCTGTGTCCCGTGTGAATCTTGTGATGAACTCCTGTGGAGGGAGGAAGGRAGGCAGGCAGCAGCCACACCCGCTCTGCTGGAGGTTAAGAGGCATCTAAGGCAGCAAGTCAAGGGTGGCCGGATTTGAGAACTCAGGATTCTGGTTTTCTCAGTGTCATGGACATCCTGGGTGCAAAAGTGACAGCAATGGGTCCTTAGGCAGAAGCTGCTGCACTTGCTTGCTGCTGTCAGCTTGTGCAAGACCCAGAACAACTTCATCTAGATCTCAGCTATCCTAGTCACCTGTCCTTTGTTTGTTTAAATACTGGACAAAGAGCTCATGGAACAGGAAATGCAAAACCTGTTGAGTTTTCTGTTAACCTATTGGGCACAAGCACAAGAATGGCTTTTAGTAGGCAAATAAAGGGAGTAACTTCAGTCATGGTTTTGTTAAGATTCTTATTCAAAGCCAAAGAAAACTCTGTGCAAAGTGGCTCGATTCCACTCAGCTGTGGCTGTGACTGCGAAAAGAAAACCTGTTTCCTCTCGGCCATTCTGAGGTTCCCATAAGAGAATAGCCCAGTTCTATATGGAAGTTCATGATGCACTTGGATGCCTTCCCCTGGGAGGTKCGTGGCCTTGCTCTGCATTCCAGTCTCCTCCATCAGCTCAGGACTCCAGCCACTGAGGCGTTCAGAGTGGGAGCCTTGAATGAGGTCCTCTCACCACTTCATAGCAAGTCACCGTCCAATGTGCAGGCTGAAAGAAACTCTCAACTGACACGAGCTTGATTTAGAGATGGCTAGTTGGTTCAGAAAGCCACCTTGTTTGTGGGACACCCCGCAAATAGCCTCAACATATGTGAGAATGTCAGTGGAAGCAAGTCAGTATGCTGATGTGCGAGGCCAAGTCCTCCAGCAAAGGAGACAGAGGTTAGTTGGCCCTTGAAGGCAGGCACTTCTGGGTCTTCCATTCAGAGGACTTGGCTAGTTCTTACAACATCACTGGCTCACTCGATTTCCTTCCTCAATGCCATAAAGGATAACGGACATATCTTCAGAACCTCGATGGCCTCTTGATGCACAGATGAGTGAAAGGCTTCAAAGCCAGGTTGAGAGTTGGGGAATGGGTAGCTGGTAAGGCACCTTCTCAATGGAAAGTGACTGAGGTTGCTTTCAAGTCGGTGTCCCATCAAATGTGCAGGTCACACAAGACCAGTGTGTTTTCTGTGCTTTTCCATTAGGCCTTTGCATCCGGCCTTATTTTGTGGCCACACTGAATCATGCTTGACTCCATGGTTCCTTCAGAATGTTGAGTCCCATTCATCTCACTGTGCTGCTTGTCCTTGCTACCTTCTGCCACCATCCAAAATTCTTGATCACCTGCCCTCTTAAACACTCTTATTCCCTGGATGTCCTAAGTGACAACCTCCCAATCCTTTGCCACAGACCCTTGAAGCCCCCKTTCTGTTGTCCACATCCCTTCTTCTGCCTCCATTTCTTCAGACTGTCTTCTCTCCTCACCACAACTGGCTGCCTCCTGCCCACCTCCTGCCYCTCCAGGCCCCCTTCATTTTCTATCCCATCCTCTCAGGCCCTGAGCTCTCTGGCCACCTCCTTGTAGTATCCCCTTATGGATTCCTTCACTCTGCTCACCCAACACAGCAGAGCTGTCCACACTCATTGTGGGCCTCAGCTCTGCTTGCCGTTGGCCAAGGTCTCGTCCCATTTCCCACAGCTGAGCCAAATCCCAGCTGGTGTCTCCCAAATCTCACTTCCCAGCCCAGCTGCTCTCCTGATAGCTGGGCCCATCATTCTAGTTAGGACAGATAGATCATATTTATCACAGAAACTATAAATTCTGCATGTCAAAGAGTGAATTCGTTATCTTTCCTCTAAATATMTTCTACTTCATATAATTCTTATCATAGTAGTATCCATTAAGCCAATTGTGCAGCCAAAAACCTTCAACTTGATTCATATTCCTCTTTCTCTCTCATCTCAACAGTCAGTGAACACCAGAGCTCAATCTCTTCTCCATCTGAGATGCCCCTGGAGTCAGCCCCCTGTCTCTTTGACAACTCTTCTGCCTAAGTTCTGAGCTTCTATATCACCCCTTGGCTTAGCCATGGTTTCAGAGATACTCTACAGTTTCCAGTCTTATCTCCTCAAAATTATTCTCTACACTCTGGCAAGGTTTACTGTTTTTGTAGGGGATAAGACTATCTGATTCCCATCTCTGTCTCCATCTTCACTTGTGATTGAATATAATCCAAATGCATAGGGATGTTCTCCAAMTTAAGATGGTTTGACTTATGATTTTAAAAAATCTTAAGATGGTACAAAACTAATATGCATTTAGTGGAAATTGTACTTTGATTTTGAATTTGGATTTTTTCCTTAGCTGGTGATATGAACTAGGAACCTTCCTCTCATGCCCTAGCATGAGATACTGCCTACAGAAGTATCGAGTACAGCTCCCAGTCAGCCACATGCTCACAGGGTAAACACGCAATCCCCTGTAGCAGGTTGTGTTGCTAAGCAACGATGCTGCACAGGTTAGATGTAGTAAATGAATTTTTGACCTACAACAAGTTCAATTTATGATGGATTTATTGCGACATAACCCCATTTTAAGTTGAGGAGCATCTGTAGATGCATCATATATGTACCTCAGGCTAACACATAAATGTATATATGTAGGTATGACTTAGCGTTTAAGATTATTATAACTTTAATTGTTGGTTTATTCATGTGTTCCTCCCACTGCTTGGTTTTGAGGGAAGAAATCTTATTTCAGCTTTATACCCTCCAAACGCATAGCATTTGCTTCATTTATAATTGTTAAATTAGTGAAGATATTCCCCACAACACCTAATGTGGTCCCAAATGGCATGATATTTTGTGAAAGTATTTCTTTCTTGATTGCTGATTTGAATGCATGACCTCGAAGACACTATCTTAAATTTCATGCTCACCAACTGGTAAGAGAATTGAGGAGTTATATTACATATAATGCATGTAGAGACATGTAATGTATATATTCTTTTTTAATATTTAACTTTTAATTTTAGGTGGACACAATATTTTATTTTTATGTGGTGTTGAAGATCGAACCCCGTGTCTGACACATGCTAGGTAAACACTCTACCACTGAGCCACAACCTCAGCCCAATAATATTCTTGTGTGTCATGGGTTATGATGCTCTCCACTGTCAGAATGGAGCCTTCTGAACAGGACCTAAGTGAGAGCTGGCATTCCATTCTCAGGCCCATGCATCCCTTCCTGTGGCTTGCCTGCTCTGCCTGCCCCCTGCCTGTGTGTTTCTGCCTCACAGCCCTCATCATCTAATTACTGACAAGGAAAAGGAGAGAGAGGAAGAGACAAATGGCAAGTTTGTTTTATCTTGTTCCAAACTTGTCCTGTGAACGCACTCCACCCTTATTTAAGAACTTCAGAGCAGAACGTGTGTTATGAGAGAGGAAGGCACGTTCCAACATCTGGAAGCTCTATGTGGGTTATACTGATGCTCTGTAACAAAACTATAGGGACTTGGATTCTAAAGCCAGCCATAAAGAATGACTTTATGACATTTGCTGGTAAATGGATGGATCTGGAGACTATCATGCCTCGTGAAATAAGCCAGTCTCCCAAAACCAAAGGTCAAATATTTTCTCTGATATGTGGAAGCTAAACCACAACAAGGGATGGGGGGAAGATTAGAAGTTCAGTGGAGTAGACAAAGGGGAATGAGGGGAAGGGAAGGGAGATGTGAAAAGGAAAGGCAGTGGAATGAATCTGACAACCTTCTTATGTACATATATGAGTCACCACAGCAATCTCACCATGGTGTACGCCCATAAGAAATTAATAAAAAAATAACTATGGGTAAATGGCAGAAAGATCAATAGAGGGAAGGGAGCAGGGGGTGAGGATAGGGAAGGAGAAGGAGAAGTGCTGGGGTCTGAATTAGAACAATATATATTCAATGCTTGTATAATTATGCCAAAATGGGTTCTACTGTCATGTATAACTAAAAAGAACCAATTAAAAAAAATAAAGCCAGTAGTCCAGATAATACCCTAGTAACTCCCTTCAATAGCAGCATAAATAAGATGTCAAAGAGTCCACATTAGCTGTCTCCAGTCCACATTAGCTGTCTTTCACTTCCCTCTTGATAAAATCATCTTGGCATGAGATCATGGATAATTCAGACAGGCATGGTGGTGAGATAGCAGGAAAGTGCATGCATCCCAGATGTCCCATGCAGCTTTCTGGATTCTTCTAATATCTGCATCTGAGGTCTCTTTTTTCACAAAGCTGTACAGGATTGATACTTATCTTCTTACATGTGTCAGTCATTGGTGATGAAACGAGTCAAGAGAAAGCAACCAAAGAGATACTTGATTTTCAATTCAGAAGTCTGCTCAGAGATCATTTGACCCAGCAAATTTATTTTACAGTAAGATGCAGAAGTCAATGCTAAAACCATTGGTTCAAGGTCAAAGAATTTTAAACCCATGAAACCTTCAAGATGTCTCCACTGGGGACATCTTATGATTTTAGTAAAATTTTCAACATGTATGACCTGTATCTTCTTATTTAGTGTATTCTCAGAAGGCAATTATTCTATCTTGCATCAATTTGAAGTTGCTATGTTATCAGTGTCTCAGTGATCTATCATGGCATCTGGGTAAAGACTACAGACTCTTGCATCTAAGGCTCTGCTATCTACCCACTCTCATCACCCCTCATAATATCTGGCCCTCACCTCTGAATGCAGTGACCTCAGAGAAATGCTGCTGACTTTTGACTAAGAAAGATAAGAATTCTCAAACACAATAAAGTGAAAATTATAGACCTTACCATTCAAGGTGGTTTTCTACAAACGCAGACATGGGGCTGATCTGCACCGTGTAAGTATCATTTGCAGAGTACTCAAAGAGTCCGTAGTAAGGGTTGAAGAGCTCCTGAGACAAAAGGAAGAAGAACTCTCGAGAAGGACCACTGTAGTCCAGGCTGCAAAGGAAGAACAGGTCCAGGAAGCTCATTTTGTGTCTGAAAGGGGAGGGACAGCCTCTTATCCAGATTMTAGTAGGTTCTTTTGGAACAGGGCTGGGGAAAGCAGAGACCAATCTCTGTTCTTTACAGTGGATCTTAGTGGAATTAATTTATGGTACTTAATGAGGTTGCAGTAATTGGTGTAGGGGTGCTTCTGAGCCAGTTGTTCATGAGTTAACTCTGTTTTTTTTGGGTTTTTTGGGGGGTGTATTGGGGATTGAACTTAGAGGCACTTGACCACTGACCCACATCCTATTTTATATTTTATTTAGGGACAGGGTCTCACTGAGTTGCTTGGTGCCTTGCTTTTGCTGAGGCTGGCTTTGAACTTGTTATCCTCCTGCCTCAGCCTCCTAAGCTGCTGAGATTATAGGYGTGCAGTACCACGTCCAACTTCATGAGTTAACTCTATGGCAATGGTCCTTATCAGTGTTTCCAATCATTTAATACCTAAGGGATAAAACAGACAGCTGCCCCATTATAAAAAGGGGAGATCTGAAAGAATTTCATGTCAGTGTGTGTGTGTGTGTGTGTGTGTGTGTGTGTGTGTACATAGATGAATGAGAAAAACTTCCAAGTGCATTCTGATGTGTGATGTGCCCTCTGAGGGGGGCTTACCCTCCACACTTAAGTGAATTCCACAAAAATACATGAAAAGACTGGTATGTCGTTGCATTTGTGCACTCCAAACGGAAGAGTTTTTTGCTTAGATACTCAGAAGAGTACACCACCTACAAAGTAAAGACCCAGTGGCTAAGGAATGTATTTGTGGATTATACTTCAACGACATAAGCTCAGACTCTAGGATACGTCAATAATCTTAGTTTTTGAGGAATATGAAACCTAAAGTTTGGCAACATCAAAGACCTCCTGGCAGTGCCTGATCTGAATGGCCTCAGAGCATAGGCTTAGAGCATCTTGCTTTTTCTTGAGAAAAAGCCCCGTGAGCCTGGGGCTCTGGTCTGCCCATATCAAAGAATCTGCATGAAACTCCTGGTTCCTCACCCCTCCTCTCCAACAAAGGTGACGTAGAGCTTGTTTCTCTGGAGCTCCTTCCGGGAATAGGCCATCACTTGATTGAAGGTCCCCTCCAACAAGTGGTCCCGACGAATAATGAGCCTGAGAAGAAGAGGTGGTTGTGAGGGGTGGCTCTGGAGCTGGGGTGCGGGACAATGTTTCCTGTGAGTTGTTAAGATCAGGTTTATGGTCTCACCCGGCTGCCTCTCTAGTGAGAGGGGAAAGGGCAAGATCAGTTCACTTCTCAAAACAGGTAGACAAGGAAAACGTGGACACTTATTATTGGGTACCTGCCATCGTACTGAACTACTTTAAGATTCTTTCTAGAACTGGGGATGTGACTTAGTGATAGGGCACTTGTCTACCATGTGTGAAGTCCTGGGCTCAATCCCCAGTCCAGGGGAAAAAAATGAGTTTTTTATTTTTAACAATAATTCAAAAGGATGCCTCTTAAATTAAGAGATCTCTTAAGTTGGGTTCGTAAGTTTGGGCTCAGCTTTTCAATGTAAAAAACAGTAAACCCAAAAGGTAGAAAAAAAAATAACCATTTTACTTGGACTTCAATTGCAAAGTTATGAAGAGTCCACAAATTTGACCAATGAGTTAAATTTTGCCCGAGGAAGTAAGAGGAAAATAACATTTTTAAAAATTAGGTCAAGATTCTTTGTTTTGTGATCATTGACATCACATATGCCTTTGTCTGAAATCTACTGTTCTTTTTCTCTCTCCTTCGCTTTTCCTTCTCCTTCTCTCTCTTCTCTTCCCTTTCTACCTCCCTTCCAATTTCTTAAATTCCTTTCTTCTTTCCTTCCAACTTCCTAACTTCCTTCCTCCATTCACACCATACTTGCTACCGCACCAAGGTATCCAATCTCAAAAAAAAAAAAAATGCAAAGATATAAAAGATAAAGGGTTAGAAACCTGTCATTGAAATTCAGTGCCAAGCACTGAAGCACTCACTTAATTTTCCCTGGACCCTGACCAAATCCTTTGGCTTCTAGTTTCCGATAGAAATTGCGGAGCTTGGCCTCAAAGTCTCTCCGATATGGTGAAGGGGCTCTTGCACTGGCTCTCTGTAAACCTGCAGAGGGAAGCACACAGCCTGTGGGTGAGACTCTTCATCTAAGAGCAAGTCTGCAGAGCGATGGTGGAGAGGGACCCAGCAGAGTCCTGTGTCCTCACGGCCTTCTTCTCTAAGGAGTTCCCTTCATTTCCTACAGTCCTTCAGTTACTTTTATGGTAAACAAAAGAGGAAAATGACTGCTGTGGAATATATCCTATGTCTATTCAATTATTTCAAGTGGTAATTTTCTCTAAAAGTACCCTGGTGGGCATTATCTTGGCTTCATGGTACGTGGATCATCTGGAACAATTAACATAAATTGAACTAGAATAAAATTTTCCTGTAAATTGCAATATTGCAAGAAGTGATTGAAACTAGAATGAGGGACAGGACTTTAACATGTGTGTTTGTCATGCTTCTACATTGACATTGATGCTAGGAAAAAACCTCTACCCTAGGGCCCAGAGCATTTAGGAATTTATATTAGTTACCTTGCATCAAAGAGCAAATTTTATAACAACAACAAGGATAATTCACTGATTCTACATAGATGAGTTTTTTTTTTATCATTAGAGAGCTTTGAAAATGCTTTACTATCATTATACACCTTTTAACAAAAAGGGAAATGGAAAAAGTAACATTCTTATCCCAAGTTTTACAGATGGACCAAATCATGGTTCACCCATTTAATAAGTATTAGTTACTTGTTATATTTAGGGTACTAAATTTATAATCTAGAGAAAACTTATATGAGTAAACTCACAGAAATGAGTATGTAATTACAGTTTGAGATGACTGCTATCCATGAAGGAAAGGMACACAGTTCTTTGAGAATACAGAGCATACTGGCCAAGCCCAGGAAAAGTTCCCTGGAGAAGAACTTAAGATTGGCCTAGACACCCTTCAACAGATGAATGGATAAAGAAAATGTGGTGTATATACATGATGGAATATGACTCAGCCATAAAGAAGAATGAAATTATGGCATTTGCAGGTAAACGGATGGAGATGGAGAATATCATGCTAAGTGAAATAAGCCAATCCCCCCCAAGCCAAAGGCCAAATGTTTTCTCTGATATGTAGATTCTGATCCATAATGTGTGTGTGTGGGGGGGGGATGGCTATAGAAGAATGGAGGAACTTTGGATTGGAGGGGAGTGAGGGGAGGGGAAGGGGGTCTGGGAATGGGAAGCATGATGGAATGAGACAGATGCTATTACCTCATGTGCATGAATGGTGTGACTCTGCATCATGTACAGCCAGAGAAATGGGAAGTTGTACTCCATTTGTGTACAATGAGTTGAAATGCATTCTGCTGTCATGTATAACTAATTAGAATGAATTAGATTGAATGAGTCAGGAAAGTTTCCCTTTGACTAAGAAAAGAAATAATCTGGGAGAAGAACAGTGCAGGAAGAAGATTAGCAGATGCAAAGGTCCTGAAGCAGAATGGAAAGTGGTGCTTTGGTTTGTCGCACAGGATTTGAGGGCCAAACTGATGCATAAACAAGGCTTGAGAAGTGGGCAGGAGCCACATCGTATTAGGTAAGGTACATTTGTTAAGCAGTTTTGTTTTATGCTAACTGTAACAGAAAGCCATTACATGGGGCTGGTATGATGTGACTTGAGTTATGAAAACATCAATCTTCCTGCTGTAGAGAGAAAAATGTAGGAAGGACCAGGGTAGATTTAGAGAGCTCACATGAACTGGGCTAGTGTCAGTGCAGCATAGATGTTGAGGAGTGGACTGTTTGGAGATGTCTTTATGGGACAAAGAACTGGATGTAAGTAGTGAGGGAAAGGTGGACCTCAGATTTCTAACTGAATGAACTTTGGTGACATTCGCTAAGATGGGGAGTAGTGGAGAAAGAATGAATTTATGGGGGAAGATCATGAATTTGGTCTTTGGAGCTACCTGAGGAGGCAACTTAGGGGAAGAGTGAGTGGTGGTGAATAATAGTAATAGCTGCTGAAAGATCAGGGAGGAGGCAGAGACTTACACATTGGGTTGGGTGACCAGAGGTCCTGGTGACCTCAGAAATGTACATGACCTCCTCTCACGTACAGGCGTGAAGAAGAATAAGATGTGTGCAGGGTTAGTAGGCTTGTAGGTTTGGTAACAGTCACTGGAAGAAAGTTCTGTTGGAGGACTTTTTTCCCCYAGTGGAGTAAACTAGAAGGAGATAGGAAGGGGTTTTGAGGGTTGGAGGTTTGAGGGGCGTAGAAGTGTCTGAAATAGTAGTAGAGGGGCTCCAAGAAGTAAGCTAGGGTTTTCTTTTGGGTGTTCAAGGTCCATGTGAGTTGAGAGGTGATTAACTATTTGCCCAGGCAGGTGAACTGTTCAAGAGCACCTAACTGCAGACGTGCATAAGGGAGACAGGAAGGCTAATCTAGAGGTGGAGCTCTGCCAGTGGATGCAGATAAGATGAAGAGGACCAGTGGAGTTCAGGGCATTGGCAAGGATGTTACTGAAACAACGAACCACAAAATCTATGCTGGATAGAAAGGAGAGAATCCCATGCATTGGTGATCCTGGCGAAGCCAAAGAATGGTAATAGGCAAGAAGCAGAATAGGCATGTTGGAGGGAAGAGGGTGCTTAGGTTGGCAGTTTATGAGATAACAAGGTCAGAAACATGACTGTGGGAACAAATGACGGAGGTGGAGGAGGAACAGGTTGCTGCAGTCAAGGAAGTCCAGACGCCAATACACCTGGGGTGTGAGGGAATCCACAGTTGCCAATATTAAAACTGAAGGAGTAGCCTTGGTGAAGGACTAGGCTTCAGGATAGAGGGAACCAGATCACAAGTCTACAAGTGCAAGTATAATTTCTGTCCAGCAGATTATAGTACATTTTACAGCATGACTTTAACGACTGTTGGTACTACCACTATCCTTGTGATCACTCCTCATTTTTCTAGAGATTTATGCTTCACCAGATACTTTGATATAAACTTCTAGAGTTCTCTATCTCTGCGGCACTCAGGTAAATTTCAAAAAGGGCTATAATAATGGAAATTGCCAAATTTAACACACACACAAAAATATTTGGGTTGTGTAATCTAGGACCACATGGTCAAGGCTGGAGAATAAAAAAATTAAGTACTTTGACAAAAAGAATTGAATGATTACATAAATTCATGGCATCAGTAATGTCTTTATTGGCAAAGTTGATACCTTTAAAAAAACTTAGCAAAATAATTTTCATTTAGCAAACAATGCTTTATTCTCTCTTTTCTTTTTGCCATATGATAGCTCTCTCCTATAATGATGTTAAAATCCTGCTGTGTGGCCAAAGGTGTTTTTTGTTTTTTTTTTTTTTTTTTTTTTAGACCAAAGTGTAGATATGTCAGAAGATATTTCTACAACAACAGCTCATCGTGCAGACCAATGGCTCCCCCAAATGGAAGACTGCTCCTCCCAAATAGGTGCACACTGGAAATGTTCGATTGTCCTGATGTTGGCTCTAACAAAGCTCCTGGTTCTCCTTTCTCCCAGGCAACAGGATTTCAGTTATGTTATATGTCAGAGGGAGTAAGCCCTGGTCATTTCATAAGCAGTGTCCATGGTACACTTGTTGGGTGGCTGTGACAACAAGGAGACACTGTCTTCAAAATAGATTTTATCAGTTGGCAAAACTACTTTAAGAGATATTCTGAATGGCCCAACTTGGATGAGTAATACTAAAAGACATTCCAGCTTTGGAGACTTAAGGAGTAATGTTGAGTGAGACATTCCTTTCAAGACATAGAACCCCTTGCTAAATTTTCTCTTTGGCATTTTCCCACTGGCTTCAAAAATCAAATTTGGATTCTGACTCCTGAGGTTGTGAGATAGAAAGTTCCTATGGCTGCTCTCTCTGCCAGTGCATCTAGCCCGCTGCTGCCCTTGCCTAAGGGGAAGGAAGATTCCAGGCCCTGATTCTGGAGGAACCAGATTCTTCAGCAGTCAACAGAAAGGTTCCCCTGCCCCATTCACAAAGCAGCCTGCTTTTGCAAAGTGATACCATTGAAAGGACTATATTTTCATTGAATTTTGTGTTGAAGAGAGTAAAGATGTTAATGTAAATTTTGAAAAATCCAAATTTACTTTCAGCTGTCTTGGAGGAAGTGATAATTTTAAACATTTAAACGAAATTGATCGTTTTTTACCGTATTGATCCAAATGATTCTAAGCATAAAAGAAGGAACAGATCGATTTTATGCTGTTGACTAAAAGGAGAGCCTAGCTCATCATGGCCTAGGTTAGCAAAAGACAGGGCAAAGCTTCATCAATGGCTGAGTGTGGACTTCAATAATTGGAAAGACTCGGAAGATGATTCAGATAAGACTTGTGTGATTTTGGTCATTTCTCTGAGAAACAGACGTAGGTGAACAGCGTGGGTGGTGATGAGGATGTAGATTTACCAGAAGTAGATGGAGCAGATGATGATTCACAAGACAGTGATGATGAAAAAATGCCAGATCTGGAGTGAGGAATATCGTCATCACCTGGATTTTGAGAAAGAAAATTACTTCTCCATAAGATTTCATGATTGAGAAAATTCCTGAGTTGATAGCTCTCAAGACAGTTATTTGCTGCCTTTCACCCATTTTTTTTCTACCTGTTTTTTTAATTTCCTTTTTAAAAAGGCTTCACTAAGACTTGACAATAGACCATTATACGGGGCAAATTAAGTCAGCTAAGGTGCTATCCTTATGCACGGACATTTCCCAGACTTTCATGAAGCTGTTGAGATCCTAGGCAATTGACACAGCAGTTGTGATAAGTAAAAACATTTCACCTAAGTCTCTTTTACTTCGTAACATAATTACCGACATGATAGGAAGCTCTCCACTTAGGGAAAGTCTAATTAAATTTTAAGTTTTAAAATATGAATTCAGAGTGGTTGAAACAAATTGGCTGACATCTTAAACGGATAACCTACCTTTCTTCTGATGTACCCTATAGGATTGTTCCAAAAAAATTTACTGCCTATTATTATATGTGATTATTTGTCAGTGTTCCACATGCATCTTAGCTAAAACTAGTGAAATTCCCTTAACTTAGATGGTTTTTGAAGCCTATACATTTGGTATTGTTTGGCCCTTAAGCTTTTACATCTCTTAGCCTGGAGGATGAAGAAAGCTGTACACTGTTGCTTGAGAATCTGTACATTTAGACCAGATTTGTATKTGGACAGTCAATATGACAAATGAGTGAAAAAAAATGTTGATACATTATTGGATTTTTTAAATTTCTTTTTTTGATTCAGCTGAAAAACCTCAATTTTATTTCATGACAGTAGAGATTTTTTAAAAAATGTCTACATTCTTTCTAGTAAACTGTTGGAAGATTTAAAAACATAAAGTTATAAAGGAAATTTGGGGTTACTATAGAAAGCTACCACAATGTGATAATGCAAATCAAATTCAAAGGGGGTGTTATGATTTAGATATGAGGTGTCCCCACAAAACTCCCCTGTTAATGTAGGAATGTTCAGATGTACAGTGATTGAACTGTGAGAGCTGTAACCTAGTCAGCTCATTCTAGTTTGAGTGGCTGGATGGTAACTAGAGGCCGGTGAGGTATGGCAGTGGAGGTGGGTCACTGGGTTGTGCCCTGGAAGGGTCCATCTCCCTTATGGCCCTTCCCCTGTCCTGCCTCCCTGCTTCCTTACTGCCAGGAGCTGTGGCCTCCCCCCATGATGTGCTGCCTCACCTTGGACGGAGCTGTCTATGAACTGAAACCTTTGATACTATGAGCCCCAAATAAACTTTTCCATCTGTAAGTTGTTTTTCTCAGGTATTTGGTTCAYAGCGATGTAAAAGCTGACTAAAATGGGGAAATCTCTAATACTGATCTGATTTGGAGGTATGGATTTCACCTCTGCCAGTCGTCTTGATGGTTCTAGGAAGTGTCTTTTTTTTYCCACTAAACATATATTCCCCCTTTTGGAATAGAAAAATACCCACAAATTATTTTTATATAATTCTCATACACAAAGTAAACAAAGGAGGAACAATTATACATGGTGTAAGAAAATCCTTTGGGATCTTTGTGGAGACATAACAATGGTCTCCAGGAAATATGTCACCGTAATTGGTATCAAATAGAATTCTAAATCATAAGGGGACTGTTTCAGAAAGGGTCTTCCCTTTGAAATTCTTGGAGAGTGCCTTGGGAATGCAATAGCGATTCAGAGCAGGAAAACAAACTTGTTCTGTAAGTGGCCATATAGTAAATATTTTAAGCTTTGCAAACCACAGGACTTCTGTTGCTGTTAYTCATGTCTGCTGCCGTAGTGTGAAAGCTGTCATAGAAAATACATAAATTACAGGCATGGCCAGGTTCCAATAAAACTTTATTTATGGGCACTGAAATTTGAATTTCTTATTGTACTCATATGTCCTGAGTGTTTAAAAATTTTTTTCAAGCATTTAAAAATATAAACCCCATTTTTGGTTGGGGGCATTATAAAAACAGGCGGCAGTTTTGAATACCTAATTTAGAGAATGCTTTGGTTTTTTTTTTTTTTTTTTTTTTTTTTTTTTTTTGGTGGTACCAGGGATTGAACCCAGGGGCATTTAACCACTGAGTCACATCCCCAGCCCTTTTTTATATTTTATTTAGAGACAGAGTCTCACTAAGTTGCTGAGACTGGCTTTGAACTCCAGATCCTCCTGCCTCAGGCTCCCAAGCTGCTGGTATTATACACCTGACCTAGAGAGTGCATTTTTTGATCAGGAAATTAAGAAGGACTGAAAGAGGAAAGACTTGCATACAGTTGCCCATCAATTCTTTTCAGCTTGTGGAAACACACAGGACTACTCATAGGTCATTCCCAAGTTACCTGGAGAGTTCTGAGGTGAGGAACAGGGTGAACAGCGGGGAGAAAAGCTATACCCGGGGTGGAAGGCAGCCTGCAGGGGTACATAGGACATAATCTCTTCTTCAAAGAGGCTGCAGAGTAAAAAAAAAAAAAAAAGTTAGTTCTCTATTCCCTGAGAAAGTGAATTGGCTAATAACAGTTAAATTTCTTAACAAGCAACAAAAGCAATTAGATTTATATGTAACATAAAAGATAGGCACGCCTTGCTGGCAAATTCTCAGTGTTTCTTTTTTAAAGCCCTAACTAATCCCATAATAAAGTCTCCATCAAGAACTCTTTGTAGTTCTTGGTGCCCCATCACAAGRTGGACAGCAATCACCAGTGTGAGAACACTACTTCAGTCCCAGGTACTAGACACTTCTAGAATAAAGAACAGGTGTTTCATTCTGGCCCTTTTCTGCTGTGGTGTGGAACTGCTCCGTGCAGCTTTTCTAGAATTTTTTTTCAGGTACAGATCCTTACCTCAGCAAAATAACTAGATCTGCATCACAGGACAACTTCTCAAGCCCATGATTACCCTCAGTCCGAATATAATGGATTTTCTCCCTASAGTAATGAGGAAAATAAAATGAGAATTATATACCAATACTTAAGCTAAGGTATAAATCTTTTTTTGTATCTTGCAATGTGACTGAGTAGCCGGGGCCTAATGTCCAGTGCATTTTGTGGTACTCAGAACTCATCTTGCAGGCTCACAGGATGATCTATAAGGGGTGGCTTTTTCTCAGATTCACACTGGTACAGAATCTGAGGAATACAGCAAAGTCAGGACCCCAGAGAGCGAAGATGAATGTGGAGCTGGGTCAGGAAGTGTTGCTAAAGTACTGCTCTGGGCTTATGGTAAATTTGAAGCCATGGGAAGATAAGGAATGGAGAGTTGCTTGGGAAATCTTGTGGTTGATGATAAAGTTATAATGCCACACTGGGCACAGAGGATCCAGACGAGAGTCTCCCTGGTCAGTCAATACCCAGTGATCCACTCCTCTGTCTATACCCAAAGGACTTAAAATCAGCATACTACAGTGATGCAGCCACATCAATGTTTTTAGCACCTCAATTCACAATAGCTAAACAGTGGAACCAACCCAGATGCCCTACAATAGATGAATGGATAAAGAAACTTTGGTATATATACACAATGGAATATTAGTCAGCCTTAAAGAAGAGTGAAATTATGGCATTTACAGGTAAATGGATAGAATAGTAGAATATTATGTCAAGTGAAGTAAGCCAATCCCAAAAAACCAAAGACCAAATTTTTTCTCTGATAAGTGGATATTGATCCATAATGGGGGGGCAAAGGAAGAATGGAGGAACTTTGGATTGGACAGAGGGAAGTAAGGGGTGGGGAGGGGGTATGGAGGCAGGAAAGATGGTGGAATGAGAAGGACATTATTACCCTATGTATGTGTATGATTGCACGAATGGTGTGACTCTGCATTGTGTACAGTGGAAAGTTGTGCTCCATTTGTGTACAATGAATCTAAATGCATTCTGCTGTCRTGTACAACTAATTAGAATAAATTAAAAAAATACCCAGGGATCAATTAATCTGTTTAGTTACAGCTCACCTATTGTAACCTTTTTTTCACAATCTCCAACTTCAACGTTGCAGATTATTTCAAATAAGTGTATGGATAAGTAACACTTATTTTGATCGAATTAACCTTGTAATTTGCTTCGCTAATATTATTCAGATCCAGGCCTAAGAATCATTCATTTGTGTGTGTGTGTGTGTGTGCTTCAAAAGAGTGGATTATTTTGCCTTTCTTAAAGAGGATACAGCAGAAATCTGGGAAAATTTAAGGATTGATTTTTTTTTTAGAAAAATTATTTAACCTTTTTTTTCTTTGTGTTTCAATTTTTATTTTGAGATAATTTGAAGTTCATGTGCAATTGGAAGAAATAATACAAARGCATCTCATAAACCCTTCGCTCAGTTTTTCCCAGTGGCAACTCAGGAATGGATGGGTTTTTAAAAAAAATCCATTTTCAAACAGCTGGAGATAGAACTTTTCCCTCTGTCAGATTGAGAATCTGAGAATTGAGAATTCGTTGAGAATCCAAATCTTTACCATAACTTTTATATTTTCAGAARTATAATCGACTTGACACTTGGTGTGGGGATTTTTTAAAAAGGGAAGGGAAGGGGAGGGCTAGGGATGTGGCTCAAGCGATAGCACGCTCGCCTGGCATGCGAGGGGCGCTGGGTTCCATCCTCAGCACCACATAAAAATAAAATAAAGATGTTGTGTCCACTGAAAACTGAAAAATAAATATTAAAAAATTCTCTCTCTCTCTCTCTCTCTCTCTCTCTCGGGAAATAAAAAAGGGAAGGGGAACTTGTTGGCCTCTTACAAAGACATACTGTGCTCAATCTGTTATCGGTTCCTAGTATCATTGCTTCCACAATATCACCCACGCTGCTCCTTCCTCTACATCTATGTTTACCACGGTCCACGTGAGCATCATGTCTTACGTATGTTGTCTCCCACATAGCTTCCTGCTCCAGTCTAGCTATTCTCCATAGAGAAGCCCAACTAGTCATTAAAAATACAATCATATTTCTTTCCCGCTGTAAACTCCTTAATTGCTTCTCCAGTAAAATTGCACTTCCAATAAAAATCCCACCTCCTTCCAGTTATTGCCCAGATCTCCCTGTCCAAAGTCACCATGGTCTTTCCACCAGACCCCATCTACCTCTGAGCCCAAAAGCCTTTCTTTCATTCCTCACTGACACCAAGCTTTTCCTGCCATGGGGACTTTGTACACTCTCCCTGTGTCCCAACCTTGCATCTCCGGAACAACTCTTTCTCATCCTTTAGGTTTCAGCTTAAGTACCACCTACTTGGAAAAGTCCTCCCTGTTTAGGTTGTAAGTCCTCTTCCTCTGCCACCGCACTTTATCCCTCTCACTGAATTCTGATCACGACATTCACGGCACTTAGCACATTATTTATATATTTGGCTTAAAAATAAAAAACCTCCAACAACCCAAATCTTATCCATCATCTGCCTCTCTGAGTAGACTGTAGATTCTATGAGAATATGTCTGGTTTGCTTGTTACTGCTTAGATAAGCCCTAGCACAATCCCAATTCAGGACAGTTGCATAATAAAAGCACTAGTGGCAGGAAGGAATGAATAAATCAGGACTGCTAGGCACTCCTTATACATAAGAGACGTCATTAACTCTGGGTTTTTTTGGCTCCATTTCCCCCTCCATGTGTAGCTTTTTAAATTCACTCACGTCTGCTGAGCACAGTTTTCTGAGAACACATTCTTTACCCCCTAACCCAGCAACGGCTTTTGTGGACCGAAGACATAGATTCCTGGCTCCYCCAGAAATGGCAAAACAGGGGTCATGATCCCCATTTGAGGACCAGAGAAAGTTTCTTCGGGGTTCTGGTGAGAGGAGGTTTTCTTTTCAATTCTTGGACATTTATGGATCTCACATTGCTTTCAGAGGGAGGAAGGATTCCCCTTGGAATCCCTTGAGGATTCCCTAAAATTGTTATGAGTCAAGCAGCTGTGACTAGCTTCCTTGGTCTCATGAGCTAGACTTCCCCAAGAGCAAGTTTTTGCGAACTTTTGAATGYCACGGCCTCTAGGTCTCTCCTAGTCACTGTGGGCCTGCTGTTTCTGATGAGATATTGGGTTTTTCAAACTGGGGTCCACAGTTTCCTTAGGGTCCATTAATTGCTTGAAATTATCTGCACAGATTTTCATTTACATGTGGGGGAGAATCGAAAATGGCTTTCATCAGATTCTCAAAGGATTCTATAACCTTAAAACGGCTGTTAGTTTCCATACTAGGTGATTTCCAAAGTTCTTCCAATTCCAACATGCCCTGATTTTAGGTCCACTCAGCTGTGAAAAATTATAATTGTGTAATTCCATACCACTTCAAAACCTTTAAGGGTTCTTGAAGTTTGTTAAAATGTGATATTACATAGGAAGGTTAAAAACAGTTCACTTTTCTCTGGAAATGTATTCTACTCTTTTACATAGGGGATTAATATTTTTTAAAACTTTCCTAGAGATCAAAATGATACTCTAGTGCCTTTGGTCAATTTAAATTCCTCTAAAAAGTACCCAGTAAACTCATGATTTAGTGGTAGAACGAGTAACAACAACAACAAAATGTTCAGGTGCAATCATGTATCAGAATCACTTCAGGTAGTACAAACCCCATGGAATCCTTTGAGGATTCCCTAAATTGTTATGAGTTAAAGAGCAGCGCCCCCCGGAAAGGCCCTACATGACCAAGTAAGGCAGGTCATTCTTAGGAGTTGAACAGGGACTGGGGATGTAGCTCAGTGGTCGCTCCCTAACTGAACATGTGGGAGGACCTAGGTTTGATCCCCAGCACAGACAAAAACGGAAAAAAAAAAAAAAAGTAGTGTTTCCGATCTTTAAGTAGAAGATCAGGTTCTGAGGGACAGAGCAGATACAAAGATAAGGAAGTTGAAGGCCCTTCTCCAAAGGACTGACAGTGTGTAGGGAGACAAGCAAATGACAGAATCCAAGAGATCTAAAAGTATCTCAGAGGTGCAAAAAGAAAGCTATTAAAACTAGACAAGAAAAATACTAACGTCTGCCTGGATCACTRAAATTTTACATTTGATCTGAGTCTTTAAAAATTTAAAAGGAGCTGAGATAATCAGGTGCTGTGGTGCATAGCCAGCCTCTGCACTTAGCAAGGCCGTAAGCAACTTAATGAGACTCTGTCGCAAAATAAAAAATAAAAAGGGCAGTGGTTATGGGACCCTGAGTGAAAAAAGAAGGGGGATGAGATGCCCTTAATGGAAAGGATAGCAGGGGCTTGTTTGGTGGAGGCAGAAACCCTTGGAGGATAAAACAGTGCAGAGGGAGAGTTAGGTGAGGGCCAGACTTTGAAGACCATGGATGCTGTGCTTAGAAATCGTGACTTCATTTCATTCACAGGGAGCTCTGTGAGCTTTTTTGGAGGGCAGGGGGAACACGATTTGATCTGTGCTATCAGAAGGTAACTCTAGTTGTCATGGGGTGGTAGGGGATATCTTATGAGAGGCCCTTGTGAAGTCGAGGGGAGAAATGATGAGGACCCAAACTTGGGCCCTGGCAGGGAGAAGAGAAAAAGACTGGAAGAGAGAATGCACAGAGGTTAATATTCACAGGTGAAGGTCGGGGGGTGGGGGTGGGGGTGGTGGGGTTTGAGGTCAGGGGCAGCAGAGAGAATGGGAGTTCTGATTTATAGAGCAAAACTGCAGGGAAAAGAGGTGTTAATGAGGGGGCAGTGAGGGGAAAGAGTAAGTGAGTGAGCCATCTGGAGGAGTTGGCAAGGATTCAAATGGTTATTCCAAGGTGTTAGTGATTCACTGAGAAACTCAAAGTAGAGTATTATAGTATTATAGGTACCAGCCAGATTCAAGAGGCCACCAAATGGGAAAGGAAGAATTAGAGACAGTCATGGACTGAGTTTCAACTCCACTTCCCTTCTCTAATTMTTTACGGGCATCCTCACTGAAGCTTTCCAACAAGTCTCACATTGTGACCTTGTCCCAGTGATGAGACCGGGGACAGAGGATTGAATAATACGTCTCTATTAGGGACCCTGAGCTGGAGTAAGATTTCAAACCCCAAAGGGCCACACCCTTAACCCCCATGCATGTCAGGTTTTTGAAATGTTAAACAGTGAACTGAAGAAGAGAGATTTTGAGTTTCTGGGTGAGAAAGCAAGATTATGTTCAGGGAATATTTCCTCTTTTTTAGTCCAGGTGGCTGTCCTTTCCAAATGAAGTAATTTGATTTCAGAGACACCTGCTCAGAAATGTCTCTAATGGATGCTAGGATTGAAGTTGTTAGGACAACTATGTTTGTGGGTTGGTTTTTGTATATGGTGACTCAAAATTCTGTTTACTACTAACAAATTTTAAAATAAAAAATAATTTATATGGTGCCTCRTATGAGTAGTCTTCAATGACAACTATTTGGTTTCCTTTCTGTGTTTGTCTCTAAGTCCATGGAAATCACTTCAGCATCATCTAAATAGGCAACTTGACAATATGACTATGTCTGCTACTGCTACTTTCCAGAACACTGGGTCTTTCATTTTGAGGATTCAGGTTACAATTTAAATGCAAAAATAAAATGCAACAGAAGTTTCTTCTCCTCTCTCTCTCCACGGAAGTGTTTTCCCATCTGAAAAAGAAAAAGAAAATCTAGAAAGACCTAGAGCTCTAGGGGTGAGGGATGAGCCCTACCTGAGTGTGTGATTTCTTGCCAAGCTTGGCTGACGCTCTTGTAGCATTTCAAAGATGTTTGGCTGGCGAAGAAATGCCACAATCTTGTCATTATATGCTGAAACAGACAAAAGAGCACAGTTGTGGTTGAGTCTGCAGCCCAGGCATGATTTCTCCGATAACAGGAAAATGCCTGCTGGATACCAGGATTAGTGTAGGAATTTGGAGTACTCATAAAAAAGAGTAAGCTCTTGCATTTTAAAAGTATGACATAATAGCATTATTATTATTTTTTAAAGATCAAACTCAAAGTGAACCAGATCTAAGTTAAGCATCCATAATATGTCAGGCTCTTTGCTGGGTGTTAACTCATCTCTGCTTGAACAGGTGAGAGAATAAAACAGCTCTCCCATGAGAGGAGTTCTCTCTTCCTTCTATCTTTTCTTGGTCCTTTTGCCACAGATATTATGGCAAAAGACTCTTTAAGCGTTCAAAGAGATCCTTAAGCCCATGGCCATGTGTTGATTTCCCAGAAACAAAGATGGAAATACTCAGTATCTAGACTCTCTCATCTCATTTCCTTTGATACAAAGGGCACAGGTTTTGGAAAGAGGTAGTGAGGTTGCTAATGAAGACTGCAAACTCTCCCCTTTTATATGCAGAAAGAAAGCTATAAATTAAAGGCTGCATCTAGCAACAGTAAAATCCACCACCTCAATTAAACTATGTTTTTCTGGACAGAGTTGATAAACAATTGAATGGAATAAAGAAAAAAGGGGTGCGAGGGTGTGGAAGAGAGTAGAGAGAGGCAGGGGAAGAAAGAAGGCTAAAGTGAAAAGGGGCAGAGGGAATAATGGGAGTGAAAGGTGGGGGAGTGTCATAAAAGAGCAGAAAGAAAATACAAAATCTTGGATATTGAAGGATTCATGATAACAACAACAGCAACAGCAACAACAACAACAACAAAAGGCTAAGTATTGGGTAGACAGGGGTTGAAAGAAGCATTATACATACCCAGTGGCAATGCTTCATGTTGGTGTTGGCTTCGAATAGCAGCTACTAGGCTGTGTCCTGGCCTGGCCAGTAAGGAGGCTCCTCTGTTTCTAGAGACTTCTGAGGCCTAATTTTAAAATAAAAGCGTAAGATTTAAAMATCTGTCATCATTTTCAGACGATCTTTTGATACTGATTTTTAAACACGAGGGGGTAAAAGATCCTGACATCACCTAAGTTAAAAAAATAATAATAAGGTTAGGATCTTCCRGGTGATGGTAAAATAAGCAAGTTTCTAAAAATGACTGAGTAGTTTATAAGCTATATTATGTTTTTTCTTTTCTTTAAAATTTTTTWAAAAATATTTTTTAGTTGTAGAGGGACACAATCCCTTTATTTTATTTATTTCTTTTTATGTRGTGCTGAGGATAGAACCCTGTGCCTTACACATGCCAGGAAAGTACTCTCCCACTGAGTCACAAGCCCAGGCCTGAATTATGTTTTTAAGAAAGTGATTGTGTCAACTGTCATGGATATTAATCAAATTAATATACTGAATAGACTAAGAAACATTCTCATCAAAAATATGATAGAGAGAAATTCTACATACATATTATGAGTAAGACTGATTCATAACCCTTCTTTCTCATGGTGAGAACTGGATTTCAATATAGGACTCGCTCTTTAAAACAGTGTTGACTATACTCAAAGTGCATTCTTTCTTGAGCACCTACTGTGAGTTCATTCACTGAACTGGCTTCACTTCATACAGTATCTTGTATCACCACAAATTCTGACCTAATCTCCCCAGAGCAGACACCACCAAACAAAGCCCCTGAGGCCTGATTATTCCTAAGCCCCACCTGCTAAAACTCCCCTCCACCCCAGGAGTGCATTGATCTGGTGGTCTGTGTAGACAAAACTCCACTACAGTACCCCCCCGCCCCCTCCACCACTATTTTATCCTACTTTATATAGGTGAGAAAGGAAGCTGAGAGCTATTTCAACCAGCTTCAGTCTTAGGCCACTATTTGGCACCTTGAAAGAGGAAGGGGTTAATAACTCCCAGTCCTTATGCTCTCTTTCTCTGTCTCTCAGTAGATTAGCCCAAGAAGAAATGGAAAGAAGGACAGTTGGGCATAGGCAGTCACCATGTATTCTTGTCAACTCTTTTGACCTCTCCATGGAGACAATTCTTCATTTTTCATTAGGAATCTAMTTTCCATTGTGTTTGTGTGTATGTGTTCTTGCTGCACTAATTGGTTCATGGGCATATGTATGTATACATATTTGTTTCTTCCCCCCGCCTCATTTTTAGCATTTAAAAAAATGTGATAATTTTTCCTTGCCTTGTCTTTTGAAGGTAAAGGTTTTTGGTTTGTTTATTTTTATTTGTTTCTTTCTTTCTTTTTTTTCTCCCCCCTAACAAATTTTCTTATTTTTTTCTCTCTCTTCCTTTAATTATTTTTTCTATCTTTTCTCTTCCTTCCTTATAACCATCACCTTCTATATCTGTTATGTTTCAGAAATGAGGTGTCTCTCAAAAGCTCATGGGTGAAATAATGAAAGAAAGTTTAGAAGTGAAATGATTGGGTTATGAGAGCCTTAACCTAATCAATGTATTACTCCCCTAATAGGGATTAACTGGGTGGTACCCATAGGCAGGTAGGGTGTGGCTGGAGGAGGTGGGTCATTAGGGGCGTGCCCTTGTGGTATATATTTTGCTCTTGTTGATCAGTCTCTGCTTTTGGGTACAATGTTTCCATCTGCTTTCATTTGCCACACTCTTCTTTCATAATGTTCTGCTTCATCTTGGGCCCCAGAGAATGGATTCAGCCATCTGTGAACTTAGACCTCTGAAACGTGAGCTCCAAAAGTAATGTTTTCTCCTCTAATTGTTCTTGTAAGGTCTTTTGGTTACAGCAGTGAAAAGCTGACTAAAATAGAAAATGGTACCAAGAAGTGGGGTTGTTACTGTGACTAACATGACCTTGTGGTTCAGAAGCTATTGGAACTTTTTGGAATTTGTGGGAGGAATTTTGAAAAGTTTAACAATGCAAACTGGAAAAGCTTTAGAATATTGTAGGTGGACCTTTATGGGAAGTTTCAGTGGGAGCTCAGAAGACCATAATTTTGATGGGAATGTGGACAGTAAAAACTGGGCTCATGAGGTTCAGAGGAAAAGAAGGACACTATAAGAAATTGGACTAGAGGCCCTTCATGTTATGTTCAGGTTAAGAAGTTATCTGCATTTTCTCCAGGTCCTGAGACTTTCTGTGAGGCTGAATTAAGTTTTTTGCTTTCCTCATTTTTTTAATTGGTGCTTTATAGTTGTACAGAATGATGGGATTTATTGTTACATATTTGTACATGCACACAATATAACAATATAATTGGCCTAATATCACTCCCCAGCATTTCCCCTTCTCCCTTTCTGCCTCCCACCCCTAGGGTCCTTTACTGATCTCCCTTTGAGTTTTAGGAGATCTACCCCGACCTTTGTTTTCCTTTTTCCTCTCTAGCTTTCACCTGTGAGAGACAACATGCGACCCTTAACCTTCTAACTTGGACTTATTTTGCTTAACATGATGGTCTCTACTTACATCTATTTTCCTTAAAATAACATGATTTCATTTTTTTAATGGCTGAATAAAACTCCATTCTTTATATATATCACATTTTCTTTATCTATTCATCCAYTGATGGACATCTAGGGTGGTTCCATAGTTTGGCGATTATGAATTGTGCTGCTATAAACATGGGTATGCATGTATCATTATAATTGAATGACTTTCATTGTTCAGGGTAAATACTGAGAAGTGGTCTAGCTGGGTCATATGGTGGTTCCATGCCTAGTCTTTTGCTGAGCCTATGAGTCTGAAGGTGATGAACTTCTTAATCTGGCAGAAGAAATTTCTAGGCAGTAAAGTGTTCAGGCAGTGTCATGTATATTGCAGGCAGTTTTTAGCCAAGTTTATTGTGATCATCAGGAGCAGAAAAGCAAAGCAGAAAGATTTAATTGCTGTTTGACCAGAAAATTGTGAGTAAAACTGGTGCTATGGAAGGTGTGGTTGTTAAAAAACTTATAACCACTAAAGGAGCTAACTACTTTACCCAAAACAATAGGCAAGATGACTTGAGGGCATCTCAAGAATTGTTAAGACATACCCATCTTAGCCTCAACAGTGTAAAAGAAAAAATTATTTTGAGTAGAGACCAGTGGGGCACCCTGCTTGCCCAGGGGGGTCCTAGGAAGTTGTTTTACTATGCTCTGTCGTCCAGAAGCTTAGAGACTTGGCTGCTGCTCAAGATAGTGGCAGAGCTTGGCAGCAACTATGGAGTGCTGGTTCTGTAGGAATGTAGGATGCTGGAGTTAAGGGGTCATGGAGGCTTCCACTAAGATTTCAAAGGAAGGCCTGGGAGGCCAGGCAAAGTGCAGCAGGTTCAGAGTCCCTGTGGGCTGCCTCTGAAAGGAGGATACTTGGAGATGTGAGGAGGAAGYTGAAGCTGCAGTGGAGACCCCCCACCCACCAGGATTAAGAAATGCCAGTGCTGAGAAATGTCTATGAGGAAAGTTGCAGGAAATGAGCACAGAAAAGCCAAGAAAGAGGCCATGTGGGCACCAAGATAAACCAATGTGGAAGTACACAAGCTTTTGAGAGAGAACGTCACAATCTATAGACTATTTCATCTAGCAATAGTTCAATACACTTCTCAGTGACTCATGGAACATTCTCCAAAATAACCATATTTTAGGCCACAAACCAACTCTTAGAGAACACGTATATATAAAAACTGATATAATTCCTTGCATCTTATCAGATAATAAAGGAATGAAATTACAAATCAACATGACAAAATCCTACAAAACTATATAAACACATGAAGATTAGGATGAATGGATGATAGAAGAAATCAAGGGAGAAATAAATAAAGAAATTGAGACTCGGGTTGGGGATGTGGCTCAAGTGGTAACGCGCTCACCTGGCATGCACGGGGCACTGGGTTCTATCCTCAGCACCACATAAAAATGAAATAAAGATGTTGTGTCCACCGAAAACTAAAAAATAAATATTAAAAAAAAAACTCTCTCTCTCTTGCTCTTCTCTGTCTCTCTCTTTAAAAGAAAAAATGAGACTCAAATGAGAATAGTGATACAACATACCAGAGCCCCTGGGATGCAATGGAGGCAGTTCCAAGAGGAAAGTTTATAGTTATGGATGCCTACATAACAAAATCAGAAAGATTCCAACAACCTAATAATGCATTTCAAAGCCCTTGAAAAAGAACAAATCAATTCCAAAACCAGCAGAAAGAAGGCATAATTAAGGCCAGAGCTGAAATCAATGAACTTGAGAATAAAACACAATACAAAGGATCAATAAAATTAAGAGGTGTTTCTTTGAATATATAAACAAGAATGATAAACCCTTATCCAAACTAACCAAAAGCAAGACAGAGGGCTGTGGCTGTGGCTCAGTGGTAGTGCAGTTGCCTGGCATGTGTGAGGTGCTGGGTTCGATTCTCAGCACCACATATAAATGAATAACATAAAGGTCTATCAACAACTAAAAAAATATTTAAAAAAAAGAAAGGGAGAAAAACCAAATTAATAAGATTAGAGGGGAAACAGTTGAAATCATTACAGACATCTCAGAAATCCAGCAGATCATTAGGGATTATTTTGAAAACTTATACTCCAATAAATTGGAAAATCTAGAAGAAACAGATACATTTCTAGACAAATAGGATCTGCCAAAATTGAATCAAGAGGAAATAGAAATCTTAAACACACCAGTAACTTGTAATGAGATAGAAGCAATTAAAAAAAAACCTTCTAACAACAACAAAAATTCCAGAACCAGATGGATTCTCAGTTGAATGCTAGCAGAGCATTAAAGAAGGGCCAATGCCAATACTCCTAAAACTATTATATGAAATAGAAAGGGATGGGACACTTCCAAATTCAATCTATGAAGCCAATATCACACTCATACCCAAACCAGATAAGGACACAGTAAGGAAAGAAAACTACAGACTAATATTTCTGATGAGCACAGATACAAAAATACTTAATAAAATGTTAGAAAATCACATTTAACAGCATATTAGGAAGATTGTACTCCAC